AAACGCTTTATTAATATTTTTTTTAAAATCATAATTCTATGACTAGGAGAAAAAATAAACAGATTTTTTATTTGTTCAATGTATCAAAATTGACTACATTACATTGCATCTCATATCTGAATGACATATGTTAACTCGGATATATAAGAGATATAATGCATAATTAGGTATATGAACTTATAGCGCTATTTCGTGAAAAGGACGGCATATATTTTTTTTAAAACTAGCAAGTTGCCATACAGTAGGAAAACAAGTTGCCGTACTGTAAATCTGTAAACATTAGCAAGTTGCCGTACCCTAGGCTTTGGTTGGTTTTTTAACGATATTCTTTAGAAAACATCTTTTGATAGCGAATTTCAGTAATTATGATGTCACACTATCATAATCTAAAAATTTGTCTGGAAAAAGAATGAAAAAAGTTGAAAATCTGGGCGTCGGAGGGCGATTGACCTCTAAATTTTCTGGTACCAAGTGCACTGTTTTGAAGTATAACACAAAATCTTGTCTTTGTTTTCTACTTTAATATTGGCATAAGAAATTAAAGCACTATATCAGAAAATCATTTCACAAGCGGTAACCTCATCAAAACGGTAGAAATGGTTGAAATTAAAGGATTTCTTACCTTGTTTATTTTTTTCTTCTCCTTTCTCTCCGCTTCGTTGGTACCCAATTTTCGGTGGCAATGATACACAGTGATTTCATTAATTTAATGAAAATTTGAATTTAACTGTCAATAGATATTTTAATACAGTACGTATATGTGCATGTGGATCAGGATCTGCTTATCCTTTAGGAGCACCTGAGATCATCCCCGGTTTTTGGTTTGGTTCGTGTTGCTCAGTCTTTATAGTTTTCAAAGTTGTGTTTTGTATAGTGTTGTTTGTCTTTTGGTCGATTTTCTTTTTTCTTGCCATGACATTGTCAGTTCGTTTTCGACTTATTAGTTTGATTATCCATTTTGTATCTTTTCTCTCTTTTGCTACGCATGCTTATTTTTTCCGTGGCTTCGACACAGGAACATTTATTTTCGCTTTTATACACAAGTGTTTCCTACATTATTTGTGTTAGACTATTCATTGTCATTCTGACTTCTGCAAGTTTATTTATTTGCAGCCCTTTCAAAATAAGGAGATGTGGTATGATTGCCAATGAGACAACTATCCACCAAAGTTAAAACAATGAGAAAAAGCCATACTGTATAGTCGGCTATAAAGGCCCCGACATGAAAAATATGAAACAATTCAATTGAGAAAACTAACGGCCTAATTTATAACAAAACAATTTACGAAAAACGTATATGACAGACGTGAACCAAAACACAACCACTGAACTACAGGCTCCTGACTTGGGTCATGCACATATATAAAGAATGTGGCGGGGTTAAACACGTTTGAGAGCGCTCAACCCTCCCCTAACTTGGGACAGTGGTGTAACAGCACAACAGAAGAACACACTATAATAAAATGCTTCGCTGAGCGCAGCCTGATACGACCGCAGTGGTCGAACCCTGAACAGTTGGGGCAAATTTGGACACAATATTCAAGCTTGATACTATCTGAATTTGGATTGTGATCAAATTTTTGACATAATATAGGTGTCTGACACAAAATAAATGTGGTCAAAGATCTTACAAATCTAATGCGCAATACTGCGCAACTGAAGATTTCTTCTTGAAACTTTTCAAAATTTCAGAAAAAAAATATGAACCCTTTAAAAAAAAATTGGAAACCCCCTCCCCTTCCCCCTAAACTTTTTTAATCCCCCTTTTAGCATTAATCATCAAACTCAATTGCAGTCTTTCCTTTGTAGTATGGAACCTTGTAGTACAATTTTAGAGAGATCCATACACTTTTTTTAACCATAAAAGCCCATTTTTTTTTAATAAATACATCATTAAAGTATTAAAATAGAAAATGACATTATAGTCATGGCTAAAATTAAAAAAACCTTCATCAGCAACTTTTAATAGTAATATCTGAAAATAAAATTCCTTCATCAGCATTTAAAAGTAACTTCTAAAAATAAATTGACAGCTAGGACTTTGCAACCATAAAACCCATTTAAATACATCATAAAAGTATTAAAATAGAAAATGACATCATAATCATGCCTAAAATTAAGACACTTTCATCAGCAACATTAAAAAGTAATATCTAAAAATAAAATTCCTTCACATACATAATCATGGCTAAAATTAAATAATTTTTAAAATAGAAGATGACATCATAATCATGCCTTGTTGAAAGGTATGAATGATTCGTTCATTGTTGAAGACCCTACATCAACTGTCAAGATGAAGAACAGGAATAAAAGCCCTGTTCATTGATAATTTTCTATGTTTTCTATGTATTGTGTGCGATTTTGTCCCATGTACATTTACTCCATATCCTTTCATTTTCTACTAAAATAAAAAAGCCTCCATCAGCAACATTAAATAGTAATATCTAAAAATAAAATTCCTTCACATACATAATCATGGCTATAATTAAATTACCTTTATTAAACATTTTTAAAATAGTAACTTCTAAAAATAAATTGACAGCTAATCACCTAAAGAAATACATTTCTTTATAAATAATTTACAAGCAGTGTAAGGAGGTAATTTGACAATATGTGTTTGAATTACCTCCCTTACACTGCTTTAAAATTATGTTTTGTAGTTAAGTAATTGTCCATTAACCTGGAAACCTTTGTTTTCCCCCTTTTTTTGTCCCTAATTCCTAAACGGTTTGAGCCATAAACACCAAAAGCAAATTCTTACCATCCCTTTGTGATATGGTAACTTGTGGGATAATTTCAGAGAGATCCATACACCATTTCACAAGTTATTGTCTGGAAACTAGAAAAATGCTTATTTGGGCCCCATTTTGGCCGCTAATTCCTGAACTGTTAGGATCATAACCCCAAAAATCAATCCCAAACTTCCTTTAGTGGTCATAAACCTTATGGTAAAATTTCATAGAAATCCATACACTTAAACAAAAGTTATTGTCCGGAAACCAATTTGTCTTCGGACGACGTGATACCAAAATTTTTGCGGTCGTATAAAAACCATTTGAAAAAGGTTCAACTCTTCAGATCGATACAAAGAATAACATCAAACATCAAACAAAAACACAGACAGGACGTGGCATGCAGGTTATATATCCATCCCTCATCCCTAACAACAAAAGACACGAAGTACAGATCTGAGAGTACTCGCAGTTTCTGACAGCTAGTTCAAAGGCAATAACAACTAATAATAAATGTGGATAGTGTCCACATGTGGACACATATGATGCCCCCGCTTGCATATCATATAGTTATAAAGGGACATAACTGAAGAACGGTAAAAGTGACGCTAGCCAATTAGAACTTGATCTGAGTTTTGTGGTAATAAGCATTGTGTGTAAGTCTCATAACATTTGGTTGAGGCTAACTTAAGAAGAGAACAGAAACTAAAAATTCAGCAATTTTTCTATTTGTAAACATGCATAACTCTAGAACGGTTGTGTATAAGTTTTATAACATTTCGTTGAGACAAACTAAAGTTAGAGAACGGAAACGAAAAATTCAGCAATTTTTATGTTTATAAAAGGACATAACTCAAGAATGGTAAAAGTGTCGCCACCTTCTTCTTCTTCTTCTTTATGTAGATCCCTCCAGCGTTGGAGCACACACAGCTAGCTGTGTTTCCTTAACGGGTTAGTTTTTAAAATGTTAACATATTCACAATTTATTCCAAATTTAAAATGTTGTAAAGAGATCCTCCACCATAACGTTGCACATGCACAAAATTTATTTACAGAAATGTACATATTATATACACGGATAACCCATACGTTGTCCAGGATGCAGGTTCGATGATAAAAGCAATGTCTAGCTTAATAAAATCAATGAACTATTTTGGCTGTTGAATTTACTGGATAGAGTTTATGTTTTAAAAGTCATCATTCATATGAAAGCCTAGTAGAGCAATCCTAAAAAACTATGCATTCCCAAGATGTTACGGATGGATATTTTCTAGATAATGTTAATAAGCAATGATATATTTTTGCGTTATAAAAGTTAGTTCTACATTGTACTCAGATTTAAACAGACTGGCTATACACACATTCAGGCTTATATATATGTTGTATATTAGAGGTAAGCAAGCAGATATTAATGCTGCGGATAGTTAAGCATATAGATCACACTAAAGTTTTTAACGGCAACTACTTTGCTATTTATAATATATATCACATAGACACATGGTGGTAAATATTGTCATTGGTGTCTTTATGGGGAGCTGTGAGACCCAGGGAAGTGTTATATCTCGGCGGATAATCTCTTTTTGTGAATTTCATAGCAGTATATTCTGGACATATTTTCAATCTTTCCAAGTATTTCTTGGTTGTTCGGTATAATGTCTAGATTTGCAAAGTTCTCGATTACTGAAGTGAGTTGCCCATTTTGTTTCAGATATAATACTCAATATAAAGTTTTTAATTGGAGTATATAATGCCATCCTGATGTTCATATACAATGAACAAGTTGTTAACACATGACATAGGTCTTCTGTTTCAGTTCTACAGTTTGGACAAATCGAGTCTTCTTCAGCCTGGTTAAATCTGTGTCTATGAGCTTGTAATAGATAGGTTCCCGTTAACATGCGGCTTTTTGCAATTGCTTTTCTGATGTCAGAGACTGATGAGGAAACTGTAGCCCAAACAGGGTATTCAAATGTTAAATGACTATAATATCTTTTGTATTGAAATCCATGATAAGCTATAATTTATTCATTATCTTTTATCTTTGGGCTTTAGGGACAGTTGTCTCATTAACAATCTTGCCACATCGCCTTATCTTTATATGACTGAGAGTTAACTGTAGTTTTCTGTGTTAACCCTTTGAATTATACTTTCAGACTAAAGAATAAACAAAAGGCACCTTGTATAGAATTTCTCGAAGCACATCTGTCAAGAATAAGAATATAAGAATTAATTCTGTAATAAGAGTCAAGAAAAAAAGGAAGAAAGTCAATCTTTTATGTTGTTTTTATTAATTCAAGATAGAATACATATTTTTATAATTCATTTTAAACAAATTCTCCTGAATTCTACATAAGACAGTACAAGTTCTTCAAGTCTTTAAATGCAAACAAATGTTTGTCACATCCAATTTTTTGCCTTATATGTCTTCATTTGAAAAATATGACATTCAAGTGATACAAATGCTAGTCATGTTAATCTTTGAAATAACAATTAAATATCAATTATTGTCTTGTGACTGTTAAGGCTTCACTTCTTATACAATTAACTTTATTCAAAGATAAGTCTTGACCACTGTGATTCCTCTTCAAACAAAATAGCTTGTTCTGAACTTTTCTCAACATACCAAAACCTTGTTATGATCTTTTCTCAACATACTGAAAAGTAAAAACAACATTTATAATCTAAAGTATGGTGCTTGTTGGAGTTTAATCAGCCTTAAATCAAACAAATTGCAAAATAAAAATCTTAATGTCTGATAAATGCAAATGGGGAACACGGGGAAGTAACATAGGGTAAACATAGATATAGGAAGATGTGGTATGAGTGCCAATGAGACAACTCTCCATCCAAGTTACAATTTATAAAAGTAAACCATTATAGGTCAAGGTACGGCCTTCAACACGGAGCATTGGCTCACACCGAACAGCAAGCTATAAAGGGCCCCAAAAAATTACTAGTGTAAAACCATTCAAACGGAAAAACCAACGGTCTAATCTATATAAAAACGAGAAACACGTATGTATGTACATAGGAAATAGACAAAACGAAAAATATATTATAAAAAAATTACACAATGCAATAGATATCTGATGCCTCAAATTTCAATGAGAAGGAGGAAAGGTTGATTTCCCTGTACCTATGTATGGCTGTTTTTATAAAGTTAAATATATATCTAGTAATCTTAATGATATATATTATCTTATTCAACTTGAAGGTTATAAATTACCTATACGCTTTATAGGATATCTTGTTAACTTTAAACAAATACTTTGAGATAGCTCATATATTGTATGAGATATTGGGTCTACTTTATGAGATATCTTGTAATTAGTTCAGAAGATATCTTTAAAAGTATATAAGATATATAATTTACTTTATAATATATCTGCATGATTTCATGTACAAAATATCATTTTAGTTTAAGATATCTCAATTAGTTTATTATATATCTTATCTAATATATAAGACATTTTGAATACATGAAAATATTTCATCAAGTTAGGATATATTTTTAACTTCAAATTAAATAAGATATCACATAAAGAACACCACATATCTGATTTACTTTGCAAGATATATTATTCAATTTATAAGATATAGTTTAGAATTTACAAGATATCTTTTTCAGTTTGTAAAATATATTTTATTTAGTTTATAGAATCATAATCTTTAAAACAAAAGAATATATAAGTTATCAGATAAGGAAAACATGATATCTTTTTTACTCAATAAGATATCTTAGACCCAAAATAGATATTTGATAAACTAAATAAGATATCTCATTTAATATATAAGATATTCTATCTAATTTATACGATATCTCAATTAGTTTATACACCATATTATCTAGTTTATAAGATATTTTTTAAACTTTATTATAAGATATCTTGAAATTTGAATAAATATCTCATTGGTTTGTTGTCTATAATATTTGTTTTTCGTTTTTTGTTTTGAACATAGTTTGCAATGATATCACATCTTCTTATTTCTTATATTGATAAATATATATCAGAGGACTATCTATTCGTTTATATAAACATTAATAAAATGCTTCGCTGACTGCAGCTGGATACGACCGCAGAGGTCCAACCCTGAACAGTTGGGGCAAAAATGGACACAATATTCGCGCTTGATACAGGTCTGAATTTGGATTGTAATTAAATATTTGACACATAATAGGTTTCTGACACAGAATAACTGTAGTCAAAGAACTTAGAATTGGTTATATGATTTGAATTTATATTCAATTTTTTGCTTTTGTGCAATACACTATGCTATTGCATATTGACCCCCCCCCCTTTTTTTGCAAAAAAAAAAATTATTTGAAGAAATTTTCTTTTTAATTTCTGAAATCTGAAATGAGAAAAGATTGCCCCCCCCCCCAATTTCTTTTTTACCCCCCCCCCCCCTTTTTCAAAAAAAAAAATTCTTTCCCTCAAGATATGGTCATAATCTCAATTCAAATTTCCAATGGAGTTTGCAACCACAATTACCAATTAAATACATCCTGAAAGTCTTAAAATAGAAAATGACATACATAATCATGGCTAAAATTAATATTCCTTTAATAGTAACTTCTAAAAATAAATTGACAGCTAATCACCTCAAGACAATACAACATTTCTTTATATATAATTTAAAAGAAGTGTAAGGGAGGTAAATCCAAACATACAGGCTTCAGACCACAATTAATTCCCTTTGTTCGTGGTCTAGGAATATAGTTCCCAATTATTATATGGGGTATTTCTTCCTAAGTATTCTGACTACTGTTTTCTTTGAAATGTTTACTATTTAAGTGGTCCTATCAGTTACATATATATTGAAATAAGTAAAACATGTGGAAAACAATTATTGTTGAAAGTGAAAGTAGTGATTTGGCCAAAATGAAAGTAGGGTAGAAATTAGTCTTCGTCATTTATTCAAGATTCAAATCCTACCGTTGGCATGTTAATAGGGCTCTCAAAAGAAAAAGCACTGATGGATTGTCCTGGGCAGGCATATTTTATTCCAATAATAATGGTCTATAAGCAGTTAAATTTATTTCATGTTTGATGCGGTGCAAATTTTTTAATTCAATTTGACTTTTACCAAAAAATGCATTGGGAAGAATAATTGTGGTCTGAGTCCTAGGAGATGAGTTTGGACAAAACACAATTATTGTGAATAAAAGGTCTTACAGGTACAAAATGATCTTTGTCATATTACTTTTCAAGAAAGAAAATAGAAATTACACAAAATCTATCAAAATAAGACATTTTGACCATATTTGGGCATATGAGGCAGGTATTGGCATTTTTTACAGTTTACATGATTTCTAATGAAAATTAAAGAAAAGAAATGTGGATAGTGTCCACATGTGGACACAGATGATGCCCCCGCTTGCATATCATATAGTTATAAAGGGACATAACTGAAGAACGGTAAAAGTGACGCTACCCAAATTTGAACTTGATCTGAGTTTTGTGGTAATAAGCATTGTGTGTAAGTCTCATAACATTTGGTTGAGGCTAACTAAAGTTAGAGAACGGAAACCAATTTTGGGACATACGTACGTACGTACGTACAGACGGACAAGGGTAAAACTTAATGCCCCCTCCACTACGGCGGGGGCATAAAAAATTGTGCGAATGCACCACATTACTTCATTGAATCAATGAGGGTACCTTATAATTGCAATTTCAATTAGTTTTTACAAAACTTAGTTGATCCTGGGACATAACATGACATACAAACACATTTAAAAATATGAAAAGCAAAATGTCTTAAAAATTCATAAGTGTCAAGTCTAAATTACTTTTAGTTGTTTAGAAGTAAAAAACCAATAGAGAGGATAGAATGATGAAAATAAATCAACTTTTCAGTTTTTATTTACCCGCAATTATGCTCTTTATGTCTCTGCCCTTATCATATTGACCAATTCTGACTTAAGAACCAGAGAAATATAAATATGAAAAAAACTGGCACATAAGTGGCAGTTTGCTGTAACAGTTGTCTCATTTCAACTAAATACAAGTTATGTTTACTGGATCAAGGCATATTTTGGTAAAAAATTACCAAACAAATATTTTCTGAATAAAATTTTGACCGATTTCTTAAAACTTTGCAAAAAGCATGTTCCGCAGACAGATATGCTAATATAAAAACATTCCAAACTTTTTTAATAATTGTCAGAATGTAATAAAATTTGGCATTTATACTACTAAGATATCATGCTAAGTAACTGTGAAGTTTCATTAGAATACTTTAAATTTTTGAGGTCTAATAGGCTTCAGACCACAATTAATTCCCTTTGTTCGTGGTCTAGGAATATAGTTCCCAATTATTATATGGGGTATTTCTTCCTAAGTATTCTGACTACTGTTTTCTTTGAAATGTTTACTATTTAAGTGGTCCTATCAGTTACATATATATTGAAATAAGTAAAACATGTGGAAAACAATTATTGTTGAAAGTGAAAGTAGTGATTTGGCCAAAATGAAAGTAGGGTAGAAATTAGTCTTCGTCATTTATTCAAGATTCAAATCCTACCGTTGGCATGTTAATAGGGCTCTCAAAAGAAAAAGCACTGATGGATTGTCCTGGGACAAGCATATTTTATTCCAATAATAATGGTCTATAAGCAGTTAAATTTATTTCATGTTTGATGCGGTGCAAATTTTTTAATTCAACTTGACTTTTACCAAAAAATGCATTGGGAAGAATAATTGTGGTCTGAGTCCTAGGAGATGAGTTTGGACAAAACACAATTATTGTGAATAAAAGGTCTTACAGGTACAAAATGATCTTTGTCATATTACTTTTCAAGAAAGAAAATAGAAATTACACAAAATCTATCAAAATAAGACATTTTGACCATATTTGGGCATATGAGGCAGGTATTGGCATTTTTTACAGTTTACATGATTTCTAATGAAAATTAAAGAAAAGAAATGTGGATAGTGTCCACATGTGGACACAGATGATGCCCCCGCTTGCATATCATATAGTTATAAAGGGACATAACTGAAGAACGGTAAAAGTGACGCTACCCAAATTTGAACTTGATCTGAGTTTTGTGGTAATAAGCATTGTGTGTAAGTCTCATAACATTTGGTTGAGGCTAACTTAAGTAGAGAACAGAAACTAAAAATTCAGCAATTTTTCTATTTGTAAACACGCATAACTCTAGAACGGTTGTGTATAAGTTTTATAACATTAAGTTGAGACAAACTAAAGTTAGAGAACGGAAACGAAAAATTCAGCAATTTTTATGTTTTTTAAGGGACATAACTCAAGAATGGTAAAAGTGTTGCCATCAAATTTCGTACTTAATCTGTATTATGTAGTAATAAGCATTGTGTATAAGTTTCATAACATTTTGTTGAGGCAAACTAAAGTTAGAAAACGGAAACAAAAAAATTGTACTTGATCTTAGTTTTGTGGTAATGAATATTGTGTATATGTTTCATAATGTTTGGTTGGGGCAAACTTAAGTTACAGAATGGAAACTAAAAATTTTGCAATCTTTCAACTTATAAAGGGGCATAAAATTAACTCAATAATGATTAAAGTGACACTACCCAAATTCAACTTGATCTGTGTTTTATCAGTGGAAGTCAAAATTAAATATTGCATTGTATAAAGCATTGATTGTAGTTGATTCAACTATAACCAT